GATCCAGAAACGGATATGCAGTGTAATTGGCCCTGATCTGGTATCACGTCTGCAGTCGCTCTCTCACAGACGTGCTGTCACCTCCCTCTGTCTTTTTTACAAATACTTTCATGAAAACTGCTCTGAGGAGCTGCTTTCCATGAATTTAAGCATTCTACTAGGCTGGCATCTTGCTCACACCCTTTCACTATCTCTTCTACTCCAATAACTTCATGTCTCGCACCTCTCGCCTGTGGAACTCCTTCTCCTATTCCTGTTTCCTTGATAGCTATAATCTCCAACCATTCAAATCTAATGTCAATCGATGTCTCCAGATGCCTTGATCTATCCCCTATCCTTCTCTTCATTCTTTCCTCTATCACTCCTATTTGCTTTCACTCCAACTCTATGTAACCCCTTGCATGCTAGTAGCTTCCTGCCTTGTTTGGGGGCGAAACACTTAGAAAAAAAACCAAAACTACTAATAGTGGATATAGCAAGGCAAGCTTGCTAAACATTATACCATGTCGAATGGCAAAATGATTTTCTAAGTGTAGCTTAGATGTGACACAAGGTTGGAAGAATGGGGCATCCAGTGAGAATCGAACTCACCATTCAATCGTAACTGATCTAGCAAGGCAAGCTTGCTAATCATTAAACCATTTCGAAGTGCCTGAAGGATAGGCTTCTTATCCATCATAGCTCTTAACAGTGCTTAGCTTTTTACCATTCCTGTTCATCCATCAATTTATACAAGTTCGTCAAGTAGGTTATCTGCAGTTTCCCCTCAACCACCTCACTTACCATTAATATGAGTGAAATTCTCCCTCTTCCCTAATAATGAGGTAAGAGGGTTCCAACTTTTTTTCTGATTTTATGTATAGATGCCTTGTTTTCATTTCCTTAAAATGTCTCGTTACTCAGATTCTATCCATAGTATACTCAGTATCCTCCTGTAGAACCACAACTCTGTTACCTCAAGTCTCATCTCCATCTTCGAGGAATGTATCCAATATTCGCTGCCATATAGGAGAACTGATATTTCATAGATATTGAGCACTTCTTTGTTTCTAACAAAATTTTCCTGTTTCTTAATACTTTTACTTTTTTCGCTGTTCCAATGAGTCTTTGAATTTCGGTGTCACATTTTTCTTCTGTTAAAACACTTATTAGATATTTAAATTCTTGTACTTTGATTTTGACATCTTCAGTTCGTAGTTTACATCACAGGCTTTTTCTCTTGCTGACAACCACATTTTCTATGGTTAGCCCTTTCTTCTCACTTTCCTTTACTAACTTGTCTAAGAGGTCCTGTAGTTTTCTTTGTATCTGCCATCAACACAGGGTCATCTACATATCTTATGTTAAGATTGTGCCCACTGATAATAAATCCTGGTAAGGTCTCCAGCTCTTTGAGGACAGCTTTGCTATATATGTTGAATAAATCCAATGAGAAGATGCACCCTTGTCTTGCACTCCTTTCTATCCTTATGTAGGTGGTTAAGGCTATTTAAATGCTTTTGAACTTTGACAAGTGAGTATTGGTGGTCAGCTCCAGCCCAGATAAGGCTGCAATGCTTTATTTTTTTGGTCAGATCGGGGTCTTGTAAAGAGAGAGTATGCCAGGAATCAGGTACCTTCTGGAGCAATGCAAGGAACTGACCATTTTTCCAGCATCAATTCCACTTTATCTCCAATAGATGTCCCAGCCTCATTGAGAGTAGAAATGTTCATAATGACTGGATGATGAAACATAACTGGTTTGTTTTTGGAGGCAGTGAATATTACAAGCCAGTTCCTCCTCCATTGAGCTATCTGTGCAAGCCAGGTCATGATATATATCAACTGCCAGATTCTGGTCAAGAATTTTGGAGGTGCACCCATAAACTGTGGCATCACATATATATATATATATATATATATATATATATATATTTACTAATGATCTGAAAACGTTCTTAGGCAGAAAAAGGGTAGAACCAAGAGAGACTTAGATCTCAACAGACTGCCGATTCATGGAAAGACTTGATGACTGAGAAGAATAAGCTAGCTGGACGTTTGTATGGAAACCCATGTCAAAACTAAGATAATTTCTCTCATGATCAAGTGCCTTGTTGATTCTATACATAATGATAATTAAGACATCAGCAGTGGATATAGAGGAGCAAAATTTATAGGTTTTTGCTTAGGAGATTATTTCTGTTTGAGGTTATCAATATTCTTATTGATAGCCTTAAAAGGTTGATGGCACTAAGGAGGCTGATGGGGAGATATTACAACATGAGTTAGTGGTCATCTGCATTCTTGTGAACAAAAATACAAAGAAATGATGTTAACTGATTTGACAACTTTTTACCTGAAAACCATCTGGAGAATAGGTGAGAAGGAAAAAAATAAGCAAAACTTCAATATTTGACAATGTTAAACATATTTATTGATTTATGAATATTTTTTGAAGAGCCATTCAGTCTGGCCAAGGGTCAAAGTGTTCTTTGGTATAAATAGACAAATCATGTACCAAATTTTTTAAGAAAGAGATAAAGAGAAAAAAAATGATTCACATTATAATACTGCTATATACAAAGGCTTTTTTTTTTTTTTTTTTAAACCTTCACTCCAAAATAGGTGATTAATGATTTACTAAAATATGGTTAAATGGAAAGGTTTTTGTTTCATATCTTTAAAAAAGCCTGGATATTTTATTTTTTTAATACTTACAGTTAGATGAAATCACAAAGTTTTGTTTTTTTGTTTTTTTTTTTGACTTCACAGCCAAATATGAATGAATTTTACAGACAAAAATGTATGAATACAAATATTTGCAAAAGGGTCAAATCTAATGTTCTCTTTTTGATAACTGCAATATAAATGTTTTTCAATTAAAAAAAAAAAATTTAAAAAAGGTTGCTGTAAACTGACTGTATTCACATAAGACATTTTACTTTTTCCAATCAGTCCAAAAATTAAAAAAATAAATATTTAAAAAAAAAAAAAAAAAAAAAAAATTTTTTTTTTTTTTTTTTTCTTTTAAATATATTAATATTATATATATATATATATATATATATATATATATATATATATATATATATATATATATATATATATATATATATATATAAAAAAACTTTTCATTTCTCTCACTCTTGGGCAGTGAGAATAACTTATTTTCCAGAAATTTAAAGTGATAAATGAATTGTGTCTGAATGCTGACAATCACCAAAGACTTGAATCAGGTCAATTATAAATTTTCCAAATAATCACCAAATGTTTTTAACAGAAACTCATTTGTCATTAATGCAAACCTATCTCTTCAACTTTTTATTTTAATCTTGAAGAGACATCAGAAGTTTGGTAAACTAACCAAATAACTTCTCTCTTTGTGGACAATTTCTACTTGTAATGGTGAGTGTAGCTTCTACAGAATTAATTTTTAGAACAGGTTCAAATCCGGCCATGAAGTTGGGCTTGGGGTGAGATCTTGAAAATCATGATGCATGTGTTTAGAATGGAGAAATGAAAACCAAAACCTTGAGGATAATGATGTGAACATTTGTTGAGAGAGTTTTGACATTTATTTGGTGTAGGGAGGGGGGGGATAATTATTTTTGCCAGCAAACCTGAATCCTGTGTGGGATTAGTTATTTTACTGATTTAGTCTGAAGGTAAGAGAGGCTTGGAAATACAATAGGATTAAATGACAACATTCAGATGATATTTATGGAAATTGGCAAAGAAAAAAAAAATAAAATTGACTACCAGTTGCTAATCAACCAGCCACAATGGGAGAAGTGACAGCCACCCACATACAATAACCTATTGTGCTTGAGAGGGCATCTTGTTATCAAAGAAAAAGGAAGTTACTAAAATGATACCCACTGAAATTATTGGAAATCCAAGGTAATTAAATGACAAGAGAAAAGGGTAAAAATTATGGTACTTTCTTTTTTTTTTTTTAACAAGTACACAGCAGGCAAGGGTTACTCTAAAAGATTTTGTTGGGACAGCATTTTACATATTTACCCACATCAGAGATACTTATTGACAAAGACTTATGGTACACATTTTTTTTTTCTTTAAATATTTAAATAACTAAGATCAAAATCATTGTAACCTGATGCTATGCTGGCGGAAGACAGAAAGGTTTTGGTGACAATCATTAAAAAAAAAAAAAAAAAAAAAAAAAAAAAAAAAAAAAGAAAAGATGATTATATGACAAATTAATAATGAAAGAGCTGCCAGAGATATGGTAACACCTCTTGTCAAATGACTACAGACTGGGTTGCCTTAACTTAAGTATTTTAAAAAGGACAGAGAAAATAAATCAAAATAAAATATATATAACATTTTATGGAATAGAAAAGTACTGTAGCTAGCAGAGATCTATGTTTTGGCTTTTAAGAAAAAAAAAAAAAATGAAAATATTTTTCATGAAGCTTATAAAAATCAAAACATGAAAATCACAAACTTTGTAACCTGCTGATTATATGCACCACAGAAATACATAAAAAATGATTACAAATATAAAAAAAAAAAAAAAAACGGCAATTTATCACAAAACTAATTGCAGGATTCAATGAAACAGAGACAGCGTTATCTATCAATCTGATTAGTCATTCAAGACAGATTACACTGAATTGTTTGTTTGTTTTTTTGTGATTGCATACAAATTAATTACTATGGATGTTCCTTGGGAAGAAAGGACCTTTCCAATTCATAACTGTGGTACTGTACACTCAAAGGAAATAACATCACTTTTTCCTGTATTTCCAGTAAAGACTGAAAAGAAATTCACTTCTTTTTTTTAATATCCAAAACTTATCTTACCTTACAGTAATTGATTTGTTTTGAAGATAATGTTTTACTGATACAAGTACTAACCCATAGGTGAGGGAGAAGAGGTGGCTTCATACCTTTCCCAAGGGTATTTGCACATAAATGAATGTAACAAACCTGACTAGAATTGGAACTCGTCTCTTTGATTCCAAATTGTTATCTATTACGTTGCCCACACATCCAAGCTTACAGCACCTAAATTCCCAAGCGGTTACCCATCTAGGTACTGAGCAGGCTCAAAATTGCTTAACTTCAATGATTGTACAAGAATCAGTGCTTCAATATGATATGGCCATATACATTGCTGATTTCACAAGCTGCTATTAGTATTTGTCTAAACAATGCTTTCCATGACATTCAGAATAATATCAACAGTTCAAACTAGGATACAAGAAGAAACATTGTTTGACACCCAAATCCCATTTCCTTTATGAAAAATAAAATCACTTTGAATTTTTTTTAAATACAGAAATTTAAAAAAAAAATAATGGAATAAAAATAAAGTCTCCAAGACCCTATTTTTTTTCAAGGTTTCAATCTGTAATACCTGTGTCAAATATCAATGATCCTTTATTTACCATCTTTTAAAAAGGTAGGAAGCAGCATCTATCAGAAGGTCAAGTAGTATGTGTCCTTTTTAGAAAAGGAGACTTGCACAAGTTTTAAAATATTGCAAATATTAATTCACAAAGTTTGAAGTCAGGAATTGTCAAAACTTTTGCTCAGATATTTTTTCTTTTTAGACATTTGAGCCATAACATGGCATCCTTTGGCCACATACCAAGAAACTGTAATGCACAAGTCACCATTGAAAATTTAGCAAATTTCTGTCAAAACTTTAAACTGGACCAAGAGTCCTATCACGAGTGAATAGAATTGGGAAAAACAATTATTTTCCAAGAATGACTTGTCTCCTTTTATAAAGATCTAAGGTTTGTATAATCACTGCACTATAAAGTGTGAGAAAATTGCTTAATGTCACCTTTCATGCTTGATGGTAACAAGGCCATAGTAAAGATGACTGGCATAAAAGCAACAAACATGGAAACTCAAAATCAGTTCACACATTTTTCAACACACCAACAATAGAGCTAATTCACACCATTTTGAACAATAGAAATAGTGGCAGAGTTATCTTCCTTTACTGAAGTCCAACAGATTAAAATTAGTATTACACATCAAAAATGTTTAACTATACTTTAGCCGTTGTTGGTAATATGAGGTTTTGTTATTTATGGTTCTTCCTTACGTCAATTGTCTCATGAGATGCTCACAAATTTAAGCAGGCTTTCATTCTCGTATGTGTAAAGAAAGCTGAAAAATATCCACTCGACCTTTAAACTGTGTTGACGGGTGACAAACACTTGCTGTATATTTTGCATGTTACAAAGCAATCACCATTGGCTTTTATATATACAGGTGCTTTGGCAGTGAAGAGTAGGAGGAAGAACAGTGATGAACTAATAGAACAGAATTTAGGCATATATCTAAAAAGTTACTATTTAGGGCCTTCTGATCTAAATGCATTTTTTTCATGTGCCTATATATATATATATATATATATATATATATATATATATATATATATATATCTCCATCTACCGTATTTGTTATATCTCGTAGCTGCATTCAGAATGAATGCAGTTGTTACTTGCTGAATAGAAGCTTGAACAATTCCTAAAGTTTAAGAAATCACAGTCTGCTACTGCAAGTAAACCAGTTCAAGAGAATTTTTCAATCTGGCAAAATATTTGCTCAATTATGAATCTGAAATTAAAGATCAAATGTTTGCATGGTAAACAGTTCATGTTGTCCTGATAAAGAAAGGGTAACGTTCAGAATAAATCAGCATGCTGAGAATGTTTTGCCTTTGATGGAATCAGATTCAACAATAATTACATGAAAAGTATATTGACACTTATAGGTGTCTTGCAACACCAAACTTTAAATCAAACAACATTGTCTTTAGATTCCTTTTTACAAATAGTGGGTCTTACTCTAAAAACCATAAAGTGTCAGCATAGACCAATAACAAATCTGGTAAGGAGATTTTTCTTGAATGTTTACCATTAGATGCTACCCTTAATTCAGATTCCATAAAAGCAAGAACTATTTGGGGGAAAAGAGTATTTGACAGGGACAAATTAGGGTCACAGATTGTACATAAATCGTTTGTGACATGCAAAGAAAATTAATCCTTGCTATAGATTGTGAGTACTGCTTGGCAAAACGATTGTCTTAAATGAAGGCTCAAGTTGAATTCCTTGAAACAAGTGGCCAGTCTTTTGTAGAGTTACTTCAAATCTCTTTTGAAACATATTTGTTTTTAGCCACAATTCATTTGTATCAATGTTTACAATCGTATGGCATACAAATTATGCTGATCACTAAAAACAAATTCATAAGATATAAAAATACAAACAGAAACAAAAATAAAAAGCATTCAATATTTACTTAAACTGTTTCTTACTTCTATTCAAGGATTTGTTTCAGTTTCCTGGCTTTTGTTTTCATCTCAATGATTTGGCTTCTGTTGCCCTCAAGTGTTTGTTGCCTTTGGTAGACATCTAGAAATTGCAGCAAGCAATCCTTTATTTAGCTTAGTGTTTGTTTTTCTTATATTTATACCCAGGGAAGAGCAGAATGCATAGTAATTGAAACATTATGATGAAGACAATTAAGATGAAGAAATTGGTTTAAATGAATTATTATATAAAACTAACAAAATCATGTCTCAGAAATTTAAACAAAAAAAGGTTGTCTGCTATTCAACCTAAAATAAATGGTCGATGAAATTAAGCAGAAAAAGTAAATTTAGGTTTTATGGTTTTTTATTAAACAAATAAGTCTCTGCCCTATGTTTTATAGATGGCAGTGTTTAGCCAATATATTTTTTGAGGCAAACCAGTTGCTATAAATGGCTTGTCTTACAATCTAGAGAACCAGATGCCAAAAATTGAGATAATTTTCCAGACAGTTTGGCAGTATATAATAGATTCCCTTTTGAAAGCCAAGATTGGTTGGCATTTGCTAAATCCAGTCCCTCTATTTTTCCAGGTGGGTGACTACTTTAAAAAACTAGAAATGAGAGTGTCTTAATCAAGCAAATGTTAAAGAGCACCAGGAACAAATAGACTACCTCTATCTTCCAAAATAATTTAGTCCAAAATGTCATGGACAATTAGGATCTAGTGCAGCTTTATAATGCAGATCAGCCAGAAAACTTGATTAATAACAGATCCTACCCTCTCTCTGCTAGACAATAGATTTTTAGGGTGCACTCCCACTTGAATATGAATTTGGAAAATGAGTGAATAAAAGAGAAGGAAAGTTGAAGAAAATCTGTGATGATACATGGAAAATGAAGGGGGTCATAAAGGAAATGGTAAATGCCAAGATCCTCAATATTCAACAGGTTCAAAAAGTATCTTCTCTTAAGTATTAGTTAAAAAAGATCTTTAATTTTAAAAGAAAATTTTTTTTTTTTTCAAGTATTTTAAAAATGCTCCTCAAGAGACTCTTTCAACTGTCAGTCCTTTCACAATCCTGTAATCATAGCAACAAAATTAAACAGCTACATGTTGATAATTAAATTGAGCTTGGAGTATAACAAAATAATTCCTGTAGAGAAATCAATTGCTGGCAAAAGAATTGCGTGTGTGTGCAAGATAAATAAATAAACAAGGGGTTCCTTTAGGCTGAAAGTGGTGTTGATGGACAACAAAGTTCGGGAACGTTATGCAGGATGAGACTTGTTCAAGAGATCTAGAAAAAAGATGATTTTGTTCTTATGGCAATGGCTGAGGTATTTTGCTTCACTGACTCTTCAGTACATTTCACCATCTCTACAAAAAGATAAAAAAAAAAAAAATAATCAGGTTGGAAAAAAAGAAAAAGCAACTAGTTAATACTTCATTGCAATACTGATTTTTATTTTTTGAAATGCTTTCATCATTCCAAGCATTTTTGGACAATAGATAGACAATCTTTTCTCCCTAAACTTTGCAACCAAACATTTTCTGAGAGTTAAGTTTTCTGATTTCTAAATGGCAATACAAGTACCATATATAAAATAAAAAAATTGTTTACATTGTATTGACATTGTCCGAACTGTTGTCCTCTTTCAGATCATATTCACGTTTCGGTCGTTGTACGCTCTGGCCTTCTTCAGGTGATTGGACACATGAATATGACAACAAAGATAAAGGCAACAGTCTGAACAATGTAAATACTTCATCTCATAAATATAGACAGATATTAAAGAATTGACTGTTATAAAATGGTAATGTCTCTGCAGTTAACTTTGTAAATTATCACAATGAGTAGAATAAATTGACATTAATGATATTTCGTTTATTGCTTTACAAATAAACTAAGATAAAGACAGATCATAAAATTACAGGCAGATTTTTTATTAATAAAAACACTTTCATGCTTTTTTGTTTTACATAATTTTGAATAAAATATTGTGTACATGTAGTATCCTTGCCTTCACTTTTAGTACACTTTGATTAATGTTTTATACTTCTTATATGAAGAGTTAGCATTAAGAGAACTCCCAGCTAAGAACAGACAAGTCTCCCAAGTTTCACATGAAATTTCTCCTAATACTATGAGACCTTGGCACACTGTTTTAGTGTCTGTCAAAGAGTGTATTGGTGAAATAAAAAGAAAAATATCAGGGAGATAGAAAAACATTATTGGAATGTTTTAAAACCAATAAAGATGTAACCCAAAATATGTTCTGGTATAATGAAGTCCTTTTTTATAATCTTTATTTTTTCAGTTTTTAATTAAAAAAAAAAAAAAAAAAAGTTCCTCAAGTTTAAATCAAACACATTACAAAAAAAATCAAGTTTAAATCAAACACATATAAAAAAAAAATTAGAAAAAAAAAAGATGAAAATGAAAAAAAGATGAAATCAAGAAAAGGATGAAAATTAAGAAAACAGGATGAAAATTTTTTTTTATATCAAATAACAATTTAAATATATTTTGGAGGTAAAATGTTTGTTGCAAAGCTCTTTTGAAATAAAAAAAATCAATTTTAATCAATAATTAGTACAAGCAAAGAGTTAAAAGAAAATGAAATTTTTCACAAAAAAAAAAAAAAAAAAAATTTATGAATTTTTAGACATCTAAACATAAAAAAGTTCCAAAATCAATGAAGCAATCAAAGAAAAAAATTTCCATGAGCAAGAAAACAGGGATCATTTTCTTTTTATATAAATTTATAACAACCTAAAGATAAAAATGTTGACTGTATTTCAACTAGTTTTTAAATAAGATATAGATCAATACCAAAAATGATTCAAAAGTCAATCAGATTGTCTCCTATTTTTAAGAATTCAAGTTTCCAAAATATGTGGAAAACCTAAGATAAAACCAAATTTTGACAATTCTTTGATAGCCGTGAAATCAGTCAAGTCTAGACGCAACATTAAAGAATGTCAAGAGGATACTGTACAACACCTAGAAGATGCCTTAAAATATCTTTACTGCAACTGAAATGACATCTATATAAAGTAAATTTTCATTAATATTTTCACAGGCAGACATTTTACTCTAGAGATGTGAATATATAAACAAAATTAAACCATTACTTACACTATTGTCCTCATGTTTGTTGTTGTTATCACAATGTTTTAGCCATTGTATCCTCCAGCCTCCACCAGGTGTATGTCAATCCGAGTAATCTAAAGGGAATTCCCAACTAAACCCTTTATTTAAACTATGGAGGTAGAGTCTTCTCATTCCACTGCCTATGTCTAGGGTTATCATGTCTAGTTTGTACAGGGCAAGCAATAACTGAGTGATACTAAAAATAAGAACTTGACAAAATATAACATGGGCAACAGAACAAGAACAGTCTGCCCCTGTAAATTAAATACAGTGTTCCGTACAAAATTCCCTGTAGGCTACCCAGATAGAGATTCATCTGATGTAGGCTAGAGGGCCCAACAGACAAAATGTTGATAACTACAACGAAGATGAGAAGAATAGTCAACATAATGATAACTGATCTTAGAAATTGAGACAGAAAATCAAATCATTTTCTCCAAACTAGAGTCAGACTTTATTACTAATCTATAAAACAAAGATATAATATTAGTGATCATACTTGCAAAGACTTCTTTCAAAAAAAAAAAAAAAAAAAAAAAAAACTATCCTGGCCAATATCAAGTCACTTTGTAAGTACAAAATGAAAAACAGAGCAGAAGAAACAGTAGGCACCAACTTACTCAGCCATGGTCAAATCGTCTGCAAATCCAATACCACCACAAAGTTCAGAATCACTGCAGGACATTGGCCAACTAAAAAGAATAAGAGAAATTAAAAAAAAAAAAAGAAAAAAAAGTGTTGCAAAAAGTCAACTATCAATTACAGATATAGAATAAAAAAGATCAGAATTATGGAAAACACTTACATCACAAAGTTTGCCAGGGATCAATTACAATATATCCAAACTGGAAATGGAAACTTACTGTAGAAAACAGACATTGCTAACAGAACTATCACAATTAATTCCAGTGATATACCTACTTAGGTGACTGCACTCAATATATATAGACTAATTTCAACCAGTTCTTGTAGGTAACCAATGTACAGTTCAACTTTCTAGAATTTTTATAAAACTGAATTGTTTGAAACAAAAACATCAATTGTATGCCCAATAAAATTGCAACTATAAAAGCATTGTTTTTTTTAAATATTTTTATATTTCAGAATATCTAAACAACAATCCAAAATGGAGTGAATCTGGATACTAATCCAAATTTCCAATAAGCAAACAAATTAGAAGCAGCAGAGCAAAACAAAGAAAAGCTAAAAATTGTTAGGCAGAAAAATTAAATAACAAAGTGCATTAAGAAAAAAAAAAAGGCACCTGGGCAAAAAATAAAAACATTTTTTAAACTTGGGATTTACCAGATTTAAAAACCAAGATTAACATTAAAAAAAAAAAAAAAAAAAATCACGTTATGTATTTTGAAAAGTTTTCTTATCAAGGCAGACAAAAACAAAATAAAAACATGCAAGGAGAACTTTGTTAATGATTTTTTTTTTTTTTTGCATGGTATTTTTGTTTGTATATTTTTGAATTGTTTTTTTTACAGTTCATCTGGATTGGTTATTCTAAAAATTCAATTTTGATTATTAAATAATGTACAGCTTTCTTTATAAGTCATCATGAGATACAGAGAATGACTATATAAGTTCTTTGCTGTTCAGAACATAAAATGCTTAGCATGTACAAAATTCAATAGACAAGGGTCGGCAGACCAAAATACTCTCATGGAATGTGATCATATCAGGTTTATTTTTCAACATAATTCCCCCTTGCGGACCACACACTTCTTCCATCGGTGTTGTAGTACTTGGATCTCATTGATGAAGAAGCTTTCATTCTGTTGGTCAAAAAAATCATTATCAGCAGATATGACAATCACTGCAATACTGGTTCCCAGTAAAGTGTTTCTCCATGTTGGGGAACAGATGACAGGAAGACGGGGTCAAACTAAGAGAATAGGGAGAGTTATCAACCAGTTCAAATCCAGTCATGCACAATAGCCATTGAAATCAAGTACTTGTGTACTGAAACATTGTCCTGAGGGAACAAGACCCTTTTCATCAGTTTTTCTGGGTGTTTGATCTTGACAACCTTTTGTAACTGCTTCAGCAAATTGGCATAGTACTCTCCATAGATGATGAGGCCCTTTTGAAGAAAGACAATAAACACAATGCCTTTTGCATCCCAAAAATCTGAAGTCATCATCTTCCTTGCAGATGAAACAACCTTAGCCTTTACTGGAGCACGTGAGAAGGTGTGTTTTCACTTTAAGGATTGTCTCTTGGTGTCTGACTCAAAGTGATGAAGCCAATACTCATCCTGGGTTATGAAACATTGAACGAAACCAACTGGATTTGACTCAAACAATGTCAAATTTTCCTGTGATTTAGTCAGCATGGTGTGCTTTTGATCAAGTGTCAGAAGTCGTGGCACCCACTGAGACGAAACCTTCATCATTCATAGTGCAGAATATTCTCAACTCTCTCTTGGGATAAGCTAATAGTATTGGCTATTTGATTTGTAGTCAATGGCCTTTCATCGATCACCCTGTGATGAACACGATCAATGTTTTCTTCAGTGGTGGCAGTAGCAGGACATCCAGACTTTGGGTCATTCTCTCTTCCACTTCTAAATTCAGTCGCCCACTTTTTCACTATTGATAAAGCTTGAGGATCGTCCTCTAATATAGCAACTGTGTCACTATGTACGTCATTGGGGACTAAACCTTTTTTCTGCAGGTACTTGATAATATTACAATGCCATTTTCAAGAGAACTTGCTACTAGTTACTTTTAAAGTCATTTTTATACAGTCAGATGTCAGTTTAGCTGGAGAGAAACAATGCAGTTATTAATAAGAAGTTGAAAGTAATTGAGTTAAGATTTCACATCTCTAGCATCATCGTCAGCCTATGAACTTTTCCATTCACCCTCATGAGTATCTGTATAATTCTATTGAATGGATTTAACAAACTAAGCTTAAGCCTCTCATTACATTTTTTTAAGCCCAAAGGAAAACAAAGCAACCTCGTAACTTTCTAAAAAAAAAAAAAAAAAAAAAAAAAGAAAAATTATTATTACCCAAGTTTACTTGCAAAGCAAATATAAGCCACTTTAGAGTTATTGAATTTTATACAATTTTGCAACAGTGGAGACTATATATAATTATATGTAAGGTCCAATGTAGAGGTTAATTTTAAATATTTAAAAATTTTCCAACTCTCAAAAAAGTCAGTTTAATCCATGATCTGTGTTAATTGCAAATTGTAGTTTATTAAATGAAGATAAAAAAGAAGACTTAAAATATAGACTCTTACCATGTGCAGATATAAAAAGGGGCTGGAACATAAGGTAGCTATAATTCAATAACTTTAAAATATCTTACATTTAAGCAGGAGTCAATGTACAATTTAGTAAAAGTAGAACTAATAAATCTTTACGTATGAAGAGATCTATTTTCAGGTTAAATATATGAACAAAATTAATATGAAATTAAATCAAACTATTTGCAAGTTACATGATAAAAAAAAAGAAAGTTAATCTCTTGAACACATACAAATAATTCTAAAAAACAATTCTTCTGATGAGGTCCAAAGTCAATAACCCTAAAAAGGTGAGGTAAATTTAATTAAAAAAAAAAAAAAAAAAAAAAAAAAAAGAAGAACTTTTAGTTCACCCAATACAATGGCTACTCAACGTAAAGAGTTACTGTAGTGAGCTAATACATTAGGTAAAGAGACTGAGGAATGCAAGCATTTTATTTTTTGCAACAGTCAATATAATAATAGAGTAATGACTTCAGGAAGGTTCAGGACTTTATTTCTTTGCTTCCATTGAAGAGTATCATTCTACATCCAGATTTACAAGCCCAAAATTTTAGTCCTGTCTTTCTGGGTCTTTGAAACAGTCTTTAACTGGATAGATTTTCCCTCATCTGTGCCATGGAAACCAAGGCTTCATTGACAAAGATGCCATCTATCCAATTATGGACTCAGTTTCGCTACAGTTACCGAGTGAGATTCTTGTAAGAAAGAGGGAAAGGAAAACAGAGTTCATATTATGATGATATGTAGGATAGATATTGATTGACACTGAACTTGAAGAGATTAATATTGCAGTGGTCAGGGAAGCATAGAGTTTGTTCCATAAAACTATAGTTCTAGGGAAGAAGCTGTCCGAGTGGAACTTACTCCTTACCAAAGGAACACAAAGGAATGGAGATGAATATGGCAGGTCCTAGCTGCAAAGACCTGTGCTAGGGGAATTAATAAATGTAACTCATTCAAACATCTGCCATAGTAATAGCAATGTTTCACCTGTGAGATAAGATTGCAGGGTGGAGAAAAGGTCATCTAAGTCATCACTCACAAGGCTGCATAATAGCTTTTGAACTATCAAAGCTTGATAGTGAAAACTGAGCAACATCAGCCCAGATATGGTAGTAATATTCTATTATTGGTCTGATCTGACTCTTGTAAAAATAGAGCATGGCAACAGGAGCTAGGTATTTTCTGAAGTAATACAAGGAGCTGACAAATTCTTCCAACATCTTTAGCAATGGCATGAATATATGAATTTGGAGTCTGGAGTGAGTTTGAGTCCCAATCAGCATTTGAGGCAAGGAGTATCATTGAGGATATGACTGCTAATCAGAATTGGAGCAAATTTGGGGTCTGCTTGATGATGATGAAACATACAAGTTTTGTTTTGGAGGTATTGAATGATACAAGCCAGTCTTTCCCCCACTGATCTGTGAGAGTTAGGTTAGAGGAGAGATTAGTTGCCAGGCATAGGTCATCCAGATATTTGGTGGTGCACCCACACACCATGGTATCATCTCTCTCTCTCTCTCTATATATATATATATATATATATATATATATATATATTACAATTAAAGCTAAAATGAAAGCTTCAACAAAGCCTTTTCATTTTTAAAAAGAATTTTTAAACTTTACATATACAAAATTAGTGTGTGTGTGTATTTCGTTAGAGACAACAGACATGGTACTGCTTTTTATTTAATTTTTCTTGTGTTTGAACAAGCGTTTTTTTTTAACAGAAGGTGTAGAAACTGTCCAAACAACCCATCCAATTAAAAAGTAAAAATAAAATCATAATTGATAATGGCTAAAAGTATGGTAGAAAGTGCTCGGAATTACAGAACATTTGGGCAGTTTCTATACATTATGTCCAGAAAAGAAAACACTTCTTTGAACACAAGAAAAACAAAATAAAAAGCTTAACTGCAATGTCTTATCTGTCATCTTTAATGAAAAAGTATAAATGAAGGATTGCAGTATGTATGTGTGTATATATATATATATATATATATATATATATATATATGGTTTACTTTGTATTAATTTTTGCTGTTCTTTTCTTTTTTATTGGAAACTGCCAATTACAATTAACCATAGACAATTACTCTAATTTTTTTTTTTTAATAGAGTAGGAATTTTGAGAGCAGGTATTTTTTTTTAAAACTTCAAAAAGACTTTTTTCAGAAAAAAACATGGAAAACAGTCACATTGTCATAGAATCAGTATTTATGCCAATTGAACAATTTCAAAACAAAGGATAAACAATAACATTTAAAAAGCAGGCTTGTAAAAGAAGTTTCATAAAAATCAATTTGTTTTTTTTTTCCAGATCCAAACTCCTGATAGAACCTCATAAATTTACTCTTTATGACTGTTCTTTGTATTTATCTATATGGGCTGTGCACAAACCAATATACAACTCTTTCTGCAGAGTTTGATGGCTGATTCACTAGGGAAGAAATAGATTAAGCACGTTACATTTGAATCCACAAACAAGTTACCTTGGGGAATATATTTGAAAAGATGGATATGACAGGTAGCCAGAAAATTCATCTGACTTCAATCTAGCTGAGAAAGGTAAAAGTATCCCATTAAACTTGCATCACAAATAACAGGATTCTTGACAGAAGGTAATTAATATCTCATCAAGAATGAAAAGCTAAACAACAAATTTTCTGAAATCTTCATTAATTTACATTATTCGAACTGTTGTCCTCATCTTTATTGTCATGTTCATGATGTTTCAACTGTTGTATGCTCAGGCCTTCTTCAGGTGACTGGAATTTTAATTCCTTCATTAAATTGTATTTTATAAAGACTTCTGGTGAGAAATCAACTAAAAACTATTGACTGTACAGGGTGCAGCAGAAATACCGCCACATAATGATAATATTAGCTAGATGAAGACACCATTGCCACTAACATCTTACCATTATGTGGGAGGTTTCTGCTACACTTTGTATATTGATTTTGTGTTATTTGCAAGAAAAAATTATATAACATTCTTTAATAAATATTTGATGATATTCTGGAGAATAGAAATAACTTTTGACAAAATCAAACTTCTTACTTGTAAAACAATCAGTTTTTTCAGAATTCATTTCATCTTGTAAGTCAGAAAATACAAAACAAACAGGAAAGATGATAGCAATAAATACAGACCAATTTTATTTTTTAAATTTGATATCAGTTTTTTTTTTTTTTAGTAACAAAAGAGTCAAAAACCGACCAATTCAACTGTGGATATTTATATGGATTAGTTTTGTCTTGCACAGAGCCACATGTATGGGAGAATTGAACTTGTTTAACATTAGTAATGGTCTGCTAAACTAGTTTATTAACCATTAGTCAACACTGAAAAGTTTTTAGCAATTAATTCCACTATGAATAGAGGTTAGTGGTTGAATGTCTGGAAACTAGAATATCATCTTAATGCAGATGATTAGACATATAAAAAAGAAAAGACAAAAACAGCACACACACACACAAAAAGAAAAATAAGTTTAAAAATGTTAATAATCTTTTTGTTTTACTGAAGAGAATCAGCGGGCTTTTGTTTGGTCCCTACCAGAGAACCTGTCCGACATGGGTGACCCTGCCAGTAGCTGTTGTGTTGAGCTACAGTCGGCATAGCTTCTCTGGATTTTAGGGACACTTGCGTCTCAAACCACGTGGAGGTACCCGGTGTGATGAGACGTTTCAATATAAACATTTAAGCTTTGGAAAAAAAAAATTAAAAAAAATTAAAAAAACCAAAATTTGCAATGAAAAATCAGTAGTACATACCCGCAAATGTCAAAAGTTTCATAAATATAACTTGGTAAGCATTATATGAAAATAGAGTTGACCAATTATGTTACCTCCTCAATAATTCTGAGGTGAGAATGTTATTGTAATAAATAAATAAATAAAAAAAAAAAAAAAAAAAAAAAATCAAAACAAATACAAAAAACTAAAATTAAAAATGATCTGTAATTTTTAATGTTTCAGTTAAACAAAAAGGCTACAGTTAGTCAATTCATAGGTGCTTAAAATAAAAAAAATAAAAAAAAAAGCAGAATATTTTTAGAAATATGTCATTTTAAGATGACAAGTCACTATCCCTCTAATATTTATTTACATGTCTTTGAAGAAATATTAGTGGAATATTGGCAAACCATCTTTGATTAAGGAAGACATTTGTGGTTAATCAGTAACAAATAGGAGAAATATCATGGAAATCATTAAAATATTCAGAAAATCAGAATTTATGTAGCAGAGATTTTAATCTATAAAGAAAAAAAATCAAAAAAAACTAATATACATTAAGTAGTTTGAAATTGAGGTATGTGGCTGACCTGACAACACATCAAAAAGTGAACATTTAAAACCAGATTAAAACCTCCAAAATAAAAAAGAATATGCTGAATTATCCTCAGAATTAAATTGGAAAGAAAAGAAATGCCATAATTAGAAAAATATTTTGAAACCAAAATGAAGAAATATTTAAATAAATTTCCAGATTTTGCTTTACAATGAAACCAAATTGATTTGAAAAGTTATCATTTAATTGCGATATTTTTGGCTTATTTTGCTTTACAATGATTTCAAATAGTAGTATATATCTCAATCCAGGTCATAATGTGAATCCTTCCTTAAATCATTTAGCTTTCATAGCATTAGGTTGGCAATTATGGAAAAAAATGAAAGGAAAAACTGTAAATCAATCTAAATAATTTCAAATAATAAATTACTAATAGAAGTTGTGGAAATAAAAATAATGAACATATTTTAATGAGGACAGAATAGTGAATCAAACTGGATATGGTTGATCTGAGCAAATTAGTAAATGTGGCAAAACTTTGGAATCACAGGGAGCAAGAAAATCAATATTGCACCTGGATTTCCTGAAGAGTTTGTGTTTTGCTTTTGACTATGAAAGTTAATTCATTATTTTAGAACTAAGATGGAATCATTTCCATAATTTCTCAACCAAAAACTTAAAATCTCTTAATCTTGTTATGATTCCAGAATTTGGTCAGTCATGAAACTGTCATTGTTTCACATAATTCACATCTGACTTTGCTTGCAAGAAAATTCAAGCAACATAAAGAAATAAAATCCAGGAGACCATAGTAAATCATCATTAACTTAATCTTTTCTGATTAACATCTAATTCATTGGCTTCTGTCAAAACTGACAATGGATCTAGCTACCATTTTCTGGTCAAATCTGATAATTACAGGAAAACAGATTGCTTGAGTACTTACTCATCTTTTATTCTCAGACTATCATCATGGCATATGTAGTCAAGATGTCTATTGATAGAATAGAGCACAAAGACAATTAGATTTATGGCTTTTCCAACCAAATTCTAAACAGACTTCCCCAGTTTTTTTTTCAGGTTCATAGCCACTGTATAAACTCACATTTACTAAAATAAAGTTACCACTTCATTGCAAATATGATATATATATATATATATATATTTTATTGAAATGACTGAAAGGTTCTGAGTTCAATCTACAAGATGTGAAGTTTCTGATTTTTTCTTTTGGGGAATATTTTGAAAAAAAAAAAAAGTAAAGGTTAAGGAATCATTATTAACCAAAATTCAGAAATGGAACAATAATTAAACAAACTAGAAAAAAATATTGCAACAGTGGAAACTCTTAAGAAAATCAGCTTTAGCAAATATTAATTCCTTGTATAACTACTTGAACTCATAAAAGAAAAAGGAATAATAATATGAGGAGGGAAAAAATTGAAGGTGATCTTTCAATATGTAACAAGTCTTACCTGGTTGCTCTACAAGTGAAAAAGACAATTCTTTTCAACTTCTTGTTGTAGAAAAAGTAATTGAAAGACCAAATGCATCCCTCTTCTCCATAAGGGTCAGATGCGAGATCTGGGTTATAGCTGTAAGAGAGTGAACAAATATAGGACAGGTAATGCAAAGAGGTTTTTATGAAACTACTTGACAGTACTTGAGAACAAGACAAAATGACCAATAAAGATAGACTTTAAAAAGCATACTATAATTCCTTAACAAGTATTCAATTCCAATATTTCTCCAAAGCACAATTTTATGCAAAGCATTAAATAAATTCAGGATAAAAGAAAGCAGTAAATAGAAATCAAATATCTGAATGTGTGTGGCAAGATTAGTTGGAACCAAACAGAAATTATCAAGCCATAGCTGAGCAAAATAGCAAAAACCCAAACATATACACACAATTCCAGATACAATGGGTCAAATGGAAACAAGAGCCAAATCTAAGCAGAAGGCTTAAAGTGTAAAGAAAATTAACCTTTAGCACTCTGTAATATTAATATTACTTCCCTTTCCACTGCATTCTTTTCCAAGGCCCCTCAATTGCAGTAACTTTATTGTTAATTTCACTCAAAGGTGTTTTCTCGTGCCATAGCAAGATAATATCACTATCAAATTCAGAGGTCAGAGAGGCAGGATAAATTTTTTACACAGCAAATGAATCACAGAGTGATAAAGGTTTTATATATATATATATATATATATATATATATATATATATAAAAACTTACCTTGGACTTTGAACAAGAGATGAACAGGAAAAGACATTTACAACATTTTGATATTACAAATTTTACAAGTATGTTATTGTACTGACAGCCCAAGCTCTAATAATCTATTTAAAAATACTAAAAGTGCTCATTTATTGACTTTAATAAACTATTATTACAAGAGCCATGAAATCAAACTCTTAACAGTATTTTTTTTAGAATTTAGGTTCCAATATCAGTCATCAGCCCTAAGCACAAGTAATATGTAAAATATTACTTGAACCTCTCACTGCTTTATCGCTACTTCAATGGAAAGTGCTCAGACAAACTACATCTTTGGTTCCACCAGGCCTAAATTTTATGTCTAGGAGCTGCCATGTCACTTACATTGTAGCAAGCAAACCTACATTCCCTCTGTATTCCATTGGTGAGAAATTCCATTCAAACAGCATCTTCCTGCAAACCACTGCTCTGTGGAACAGATTACCTAGAGGTTGTTTCCCCCCAATCACTACAATCTGAACCTGTTCAAGTCTAGAGTTAACCATTATCTTCCCCACCTATCCATATAAACTGCCCCTTAACATAACCCTCTACCTCGAGTGGTCCCAGCCTTGTACAGGGCGAAAATTCTGTAAAAAAGAAAAATTTTGTCATGCTGAAAACATTGGTTCTAGTTCAATTACTGAAGTTAAGCAATATCAAGCCAGGTTACTACTTAGATGGAGACCACTTGGGACACAGGGTGCTATAAGTAACCTACTACAATCCAAAATGTTTTGGTTTCAAATAACCCAGAAAAGACCGACAAGCCATAAAAAAAAAATAAATAAAAAAAAACTAAAAAATAAAAAAAACAAATCAAATCAATATTACTCTTATTTTGGAAACCACTGGTCTTCAAATTGTAGTTCTGGTCAAAGTATTGACTCATTGGAATAGAAATACTTTTCTTTTTTTCTTTCATGTAATTAATAAATAATTTGATTCATATAAAATAAATCTCAAGGAATTTATGAAATGTATAATCAATTTCAGTTATACAATATAATAGCAAACACTTTTTAACCTTTAATTTTCAAAGTATTTACTAATTGTAATTTGAATTTCTACAAATCGTGATTGTTGTAAGATGGTGGTAAGTGGCAGTAAGTGGCATACCTTACCAACAATTGACTTGAAAGCATGTAAACTGGGATAAGATAGACAAATGTAATATTCTATGAACTTGTCTGAAACATTTCTCAAAATATTAACAAAATATCTTAGCTTTAAATATTAAATGTAAGCAGTGGTTTCAAACATTTTCATGTTATTCAACCGATAGAATTCCACATTTTGCAAGATGTTAACACCAATGTTTTTTCTTTTTGATTGCTTCATTCGTATTCTACAGCTTATTATCTGATTGCATGTAATTTAAAGTCAGAAAATGTACTTAAATTCTAAGAATTTTTTTTCTGGAGACAAGTCTTACTTAATTAACCCATAGCTGGGGTAGAAGAGGTGTACTCATACCTTTTTCAAAAGGTATTTGCACATAAGTGAACATAACGAAGCCAATGAGAATTGGAACCCAGCTATCCAATTAACAATTCTGAGCCATTATCTATTACACCACCTGCACAGCACCTGGTATTCCCAAACAGTCACTCATCAAGGTACTGACCAGGATTGACATTGCTTAACATCAGTGATTGTACAGGAGGACCAATTTGTTATATTTTGCCAGTATAAGAAGAAATTAAGTGAAATAAAAAAAAAAAAAAAAACAACAAAAAAAAAAAAACAAACACAATTCTTACCTGAATACATCACAGTCTGTAAGGCAGATTTCTTCATCAATAGCAGCCCAAAGTTGTTGTTTAAATAATGTATAACAATCACCAATGTTGGCTGCCAACTGACAATCTATAGTATTCACCACACACTGCAAAGAAACATCCAATAAAATATAGAAATTAAATAGAAAATCCAGGCAAAACTAAAACTTATTCATTCTTTTATGGGAATCTTTAACCTTTGTGCCCACAAAAAGGCAGTTTTTCCCTTGACACCACACGTGCTTTAACTTTCTTTACTCCTCAATAATGTTTGTTTTAAAGTGATGATTAGAATTGTAATCAAATCTAAGAATGAAAGCAAATTTATACATTTTCTTTGTTCTTGAGAATTGACAATAAAAATATTAAACACTATTAGACTGTTTGTTTACATTATTATATTGTTTATTGGGATGGTTAGCAAAACATTGGCTAATTACAATTAATTTGAATGTTATAAAATGGCAAATAATAAAGATTTCACATATTTTAATAAATTAGTAAATGTTTATAAATTTATGAATAAAAAAATTGTTTTTATATTTCTTTATAAATTGGTAAATGGTAATTATTACATTGCATTAGTTTTAATTGTATTTTGTTTAGAATGTCGGAAATATAAAATTATTTTTTGTTGTGTCGGAAACCTACCACCCCTCTTGAAGATTAACTTGTCTGCATCTGTGAACAAAGACTTTAAATAGTGGCATGTCAGTTGACATGGAAAAAGACAGATAGAAAGAGAAGTTCTTAGCTGAGCTAGTTATTGACTACTCAGGCGATTTCTGTACCTTTTTACCAACCTATTAAAACCCTTTTTATTGTTACGTGTTATTTGGTGTTTGTCTCTACTAACCCCAAATCAACATCATAACATTTTTGTAAATAAACAATCTAATAAATAAATAGATTTCAATATTTTTGTTGTAAATTCTCAAGAACCCAAAAAATGTGTAAATTCACTTTCATATGTTCAAGTTTTATTACTATACTCTTGTTTTTAAAACAATAAACATTGCCAAGGGATGAAGGTAGTTAAAATAATAGCAGTGTCAAAGAAAAAATCCATCCTTTTTAGTAAATCATTTTTTTGCAGGCACAAATGTTAAAGATCACCAAACAGTTTATCAAATATCAACAGCAGTTCCAGGAGGTAACCTTGCAAAAATCCATAGAAATCAGAAACTTTATCCGAACATTAAGAAAACAATAATAACTGGAAGCCTATTTTTCTTATTAAGTTGGCCATGGTCATGTTTTCATTGATGAAATAAATAAGTTGCCTGCCTTCCAACAAGTGAGCAGACCTTTATACAAATTAAATTATAAAATTATTTTTTTTTTGGATAAACAATTCTGAGGTTAATCATTCAGCTTTTTGTAATAGAAATTTTATTGCTAAATGAGATAGGCATAAAAAATAAAAATCTTAACCTGGACTGAGAGTTCTTTGCTGAATTCTTCGCTCTTGGCTTTGCTGAAGTCATAGTCCGGCTGGAAAGAAGCATTTAATGTTGAGATGAGATAAAACAAAGTTTTAGTTGAAATTGTATCACACAAGTGGCCTTCTCCATCACTGAGACTGTGAGAATTGAACCTGAGAGAATTAAGAAAACAAAAACAACACATTAGCTACAGGAAATTAATTACAGTTAATAAACAATTACAAAATAAAAGTAAAAATGTATTGAGCTTTGTCATATTTTCATGAGAAAATAAACAAAATATTGGACATTTCTTTCTAATACCAATGCATTATTCTAAAGTCATAACCTGGAACATTCATTCTAATATAAAGGCTAATTGGAACTTGATAAACTAAGATACATAAACCAAAGCAACTGAAATGCAATGGGTGAGAAGGTTACATTTTGGCACACTGAAATGCTCAATGTCAACAATTACTCTTATGAGCCCAAAAACACTAAATGCATTTTCTCAGGTAAAAAATATGCATTTTAAAATTTATTGAATGAAGGGTATTCAATAGCCAATCCACAGGAAAATCATTTTTTAAATTAGTCAATGTTCAAGAAATTACCAAGAAACATTTTCTAAAAAAAATTTTTTTAAATAAAAAACACTTTCCCAATCCAAGACTAACATACATAGTTTTGAAGTACAAAAGCTTAAAAAATAATAATTAAAATAAATTGCATTTTCTTTTTCATGCCAAATAAAAACAGCTTGTGGTGTATGTAGTCACATTTTAACAGCAATTTGATTTTGGAGAATGAAAGCATTTTCAACTTTCTTCCAAATGATCAATTTTGGATTCTTTTTATTTGAATTCCAGATTAGTCAAATCAGATTTTTTCAGCTTTACCCAAAACGGCTAAGACTGACAAAAGTGTTATACAAAGAAAAATTAATACAGAGTGTAGCATTTTTGTTTTTTTTCCTGTTTAGTCACCAAGAGACCAAAACTTTCATAACCAGTCAAGAGTTATTTTATCTTGTCTTTCTGATCCCAACATTTTTGTTGTAAAGACTAGTAGTGAGAGAAAAAAAAAATAAAAAACATTTTTGGCCTTTCCAGTAATGAAAAGAAAATGTAATTTAATCTTTTCTTTTCCTTATTTAAAATTAATGAAAGTTAACTTTAGTGAAAACTACCAAAAAAAAAAAAAAATATATATATATATATATATATATATATATATATATATATATATATATATTTATATTTATATATATAAACACACACACACACACACACACACACACACACAAACAAACATTACATTAGATAAAATTAGTCATTTATTTTCATTAACTTACTGGTTTGGACTTTGTGAAGAAACACTCTGGGGTGGAGAGAGTGCCTGCAGGTCATTCGGTGAGAAACCACCATCACTGCTAATGGCTTTATAAAGCCTTTTATCACTTCCAGCCATCTTACAAGAATAACTTTCCAACCTAAAATAACAAAGAATAATAAGTCATATTTTATGGTCTTCATCTTTGTCGTTTTGAATAATAAAAACAAATGACACTTTCTGGACTTATTTGCCCATATAATCATATCCTGAAAGTTTTACTACCATCCATTAGTTAATAGCAATTTTATTATGAAAACGTTGACTTTTATAATAAAATGACAAAAGTATACAAAAGTCTTTAAAAATTTAATCTATTGCAAATTACTTAAAAATATGCACATCTAAAAATCAATAATAAAAATAAACACAAGATATATCCTTATTTATATACTGCACAGAAAGGATGATTAATAAAACAGCAAACTTGGACCTTCATACCTGCAAAGAAATGGTGTGTCAAAAGGATGTTTTTTTTTTCCATTGACACCTATTATTTTAACTAATTTCATTGCTCAGCAAGATTTCTTTTAAAAAGTGATGATTAAAATAAAATCTAAACATGAAAGTGAATTTATATATATTTTTTTGTTCTTGAGAATTGATAACAAAAATAATAAAGCCGATTTATTTATTACATCATTTATTCTAATAGTTGGCAAAACATCAGATAATTGCCAATCGATTCAAATCTTAGAAAATGGTAAATAAGAATTTCTTTATAATTGGTTCACATATTTTAAGAATTTAATAAATCTTTATAAATTTATGAGTAAAACATTTTCTTTATAAATTGATAAATGATAAATATTTCATTGCATTCGTTTTAACTGTATTAGTTTTTGAATGTTATAAATATAATATTTTTGTAATTTAATAATTAAATAGTATTTAATATTTTTGTTGTAAATTCTCAAGAACAAAAAAAAAGGTATTTCATATATTTAGGTTTTATTACAATTCTAATTAGTGCTTTTTGAAACACTAAACATTGCCGAGGAGTGAAGGTAGTTAAAATAACAATATCAATGGAAACAGTGTCTTTTTGATACTTCATTTTTTATGGGCACAAAGGTCTATGTCTGCCAATAAGATATAACTTAGATTTACAATCAGCCCTATATCTATTTCTCTAAAAGTAGGTTTTTTTAAAATTCCGGCCCCTCTCATATCCAAAGTTCTCAAAGACCCAGTTTTTTTTTCATAATCATTTATGCAAAGTTGGCATTTATCACCAAAACTTGATTCAACACAACTCATTTCACCTAATGTAGAGTCAGTTATGTCCCAGGACTCCTATCAATCAGACATGTTTTTTTTACTCATATCTTTTTTACAATTATTGTTTAAATAAAAGGTATACTAGTAGTTTCATGGTGTCTTGGCGTGACTATGTATATGAAATGAAATATTATTTACAGTTTTAGTTTAATATATATAGTTATAAGTTTCAAGGCAGAAATATTAATATTTCAGGACTCATAAATGGTGTAATTTACTCCCATGCAACACTTGGCCTCTTGAAAACTTGGCTTTAATATCAGTTACTAACAGGATTTATGATGCCAGATCATTGAAAAAACATGTCAAAGTAAATGTTACCCAATCTATGCATTTACCCTTCTATTGGATTCTCATCCAACTTTACACACACACACACATTATATATATTATATAATAGCCATGTCAAAGATAGTATGAAGTGAAAAAATACTGATAGTCAATGGGATACTGAGAGAAAAGACATTTAAGGCAAGCAGTCTTTGCAATAAAGTGCTTGATATCAAAGATAGAGCCTTAAAAGAATTAAGTAAAATTTTGTCACTTAGCTGATTAATGTTACCTTCAACATCCCAACCCCTAGACTTTCATAGGCAGACCTGTCCATCCACTCTTCAGGTTGTCTGAAGAGAGGATGGAAATCAGCAAAAGAGTGTTTAGCCTAAAGAGAGCATCACCAACAAGGCATTTGAAGCAGAAGATAAAAATTCTCTTGGCCGAATTAAAGATTTCTTTCTCTTAAGCGAATCTATCCTACCAAACCTGGCATAATGATGTTTTGGCAAACCCAACTGTTGATCTAACTACTGAAACAGACTAGTAAACAAAAATATGACACTACATTCGAAATTATATATAAAAAAAAAAAAAAATTCTCTTGACATTTAATGTGTGTGTGTGCATGTAAATGAGAGAGATCATGATATTTTACGTCACAACTCTCAAATAGATGAGTAGCGACAGGGTAGAGATGTTAACCAATTATATTTAGGAGGTGTGGAGGGAGGGGGGGCATTCATTTTTTAGTGCATTTTTCCTGTCAGGATGAATAACAAAGTTACAAAGAGACAAAAAAAAGAGGAAACAGAGGACAAGCTCCACTGCATCAGGCAAAACATTAGTCACACCAGGTTTTCATTACTGTCTTTAAAGACTTCAAAGTTGCAGACCTATTTTCAAACTATGGCATATCATACTTAATAAATGTACTATTTTCTCCAGTGCCAAGGTAAAAACATGACAACCAAAGTTATCATTGGTACTGTAATGAGAAAAAAAAGATAGAGAAAGAAGAGCAAACAAATCTTTAGAGCAATTTATACTACTGACAACATTTGCAATACAAATATTCTGATAAGAAATTATGAGTGTAAGCATTCATTAATCATGACAAAAAAAACTTTTTTTAAATAAAAATTGAAGTTTTAAAACAAACAATTGGTAAAAGTATTTTTTAATGCCCAATTTGCACTCTTCAATAATATGAATATTAATTCAGTAATTATTGACTTGTTTGAGATTTACAAATAATATTCAAATTTTTTTTTTTTTTTTTTACAAAGATTGATATCAAATTATTCATATCTGCATGCCTTGAGAAAGTTGAGTAGTCATGCTGCTAAGCTAAACTACCTATATTGACCATACTCAAGATACATATTGAGATCTGATTACAAAGTGAGATTCCTTGACTGGAAACTTTGCAAGATCTTTGTCATTGTTCAAAGATGGACTGAGAATTCTACTCAAAAGAGAAAAGAAAAGTTAGTCAACTATGGGAGAAAGCTGCTTTGACTCATTAATTAGGACAGGAATGTATTGTATTTTTTTATAACCAATGTGCAAAAGTTTTTAAATACTGAAACTAATATTCCCCAAAAACATTTGTGGAGTACATGCAAGTATTTAAAAAATAATATAGATATGCTTTTATAATGCTGAGAGCAAAACACTAGTTCCAAGCAACTTCTTTGTGCTGTGTCTATCACGTCTCTACACAATTTTGTAGGTCTTAATAAATTTTCTCCTTAATCCTGTTCTAGCATCCATTTCATTTACTTACGCTCACTAAGATGCATTGCTTTTTTTTTTTGTCTCTCGTTTTGCCTTCGATCTGTCCTGAGAATATTAGATTTTCCAAGCCATCTTTCCTCATTATGTGCCTTAAACATTTCAACTGTCTCTTTCTGATGTTAAGCTTAAGTTTCCTTTTTTTGTTACCATTTTTCTCTAAAACTTACATGTTCGGTCCATGGTATACTTAGCATCCTTTGTAGAATTTTTAGCCAGCTATAAGTACTAGTTATTTAACATAAGATTAAAAACGAAAGAATTATATACACACACATACACACACAAAAAAAATGAGTTTCGTGCTTTAAAAAACAAATTCTTAACGTCACAAACATAATAAATAAATATTAAAATATGAAGTAGTAGAATTAAAACAAAACGTCATCAGTAAATTTCACTAAAAAAAATAAAAAATTCATACATTGAACAGTGGATTTTTATTTTTTAAGTTCTTCCTTAAACCGAGTTCACTTAAAAATAAAATAATATCTGATAAATAAAATTTAGCTCTAAGAAATCCAGCCAATTTGTAATGTAGTTTCTTGGTTTTTAATTTAAATTTTTTTTAATCCCATTCCTAAACTGTTTTGCTTTTGCCTTCCTTATCTACATATAGATACAGTTTCACGCAAATCAAATGAACATATCGTTCAAAAGTGCTTTTTTTCACACATATATTTTTAAATTTTAATATAAATTTAAAATTATCGTTTTATTTGCGTAACAAAAACAATTGAAATAATTTCCAATTACTTGTAACAAAATCGAGTACGTTTTTCTTTCATAAGCCAAAAAAAAAAAAAAAAAAAAAAAAACTTCCATTTATGCCCTACCAACAAATCACATTTTTGTTGAAAGCTAATAATAATGTATTGTGTGACACAGAAATCTAGATCCCAGAGTCAAGTGAAGTGAAGGAAAAACAAATGCCAAAGTGACATTCTGACATCAAAAGATTGTTTAATATTTCTATTTTTATCAAACTATTTTTTTGATATAGAAGCTAAACTTGCGGAAACTTTCTTTAATTGTCACAAAACAATTTTTTTTAAATCCAAACAAAGGGAAAAATTGCAGGGAGGTAAATAATCTTTTCGTTTCAGTCACAGAGTTATTTCATCACTAAGTTTGAAAAAATAAATGTTTTGACTGAAGCGAAAATTGTTTTATTTAGACAAATTAACATTTTTTTTGTTAAAAATAGTTTTGCGCTGTTTCTAAAGGAAAAAGTTTTATGAAGTTTCTAACGATGTATTGTAAAAAAATGTACAACACGCAAGATGTCATTAATGTTCATAAAAGAAAAAAAACTGAAAATAGTTTGGGTACAAGGTCAAAAAAGCCAAAACAGAAATAAGAATGCAGGTAATAGTACAAATAAGACAAGTAGGTACTACTACTAAATAACTACTATCCTTGTGAAAGTATTTTTAGTGTTTTAATCGGAAACTAAACTTTGTAAAATGTGAAAAAAATTTAAAATATGTTTTTCCCCCCCACAAAATTTATTTCTAAGCAAAATTCACCCTTTCTTTCCGCCAACATCTCTACTTATTCTTTTGATGAATGATAAAAAAATCGATATCTGTGCTGCTAAAATATGAAACCAGGTAAATAAAAATAATAATTAAATTAGTAATCCTGCACTTCCTCGAGCTGAACCTACCAACACCTGTCAGGTTGGTTTTCTTTCGTCACCAGTTTAGAGTGGGTCTGTTATTGTTGTTTGCAAAGAGAAGGAAATGATACCACTAGAGTAGCGCAGATAGAATATACACAAGTATCGAGAAATATAAACCACTTACTTGCTCCCCACTCCCGAAATAGTAACAAACAAACACCAGATCTGTTTTTTTTAATACGGTTCAGAAGAAAAACTGTAACAATGGCACTTCCAAGACGTTCATTTTTCAATTTAAATAGCTAAATTAATTTCAATTACATATTTGAAATTACCTAAAAATTAACCTTCTTTTTCGGGAAAGACAAAAAAATGTTTTAAATTAAAATTTTAATTTACGAACCTTAAAAAAATTTTTTTTTTTTTAAAACATAAACAAAACAAAAATACCTCTACTGTGTGTAAATCCACCTTATTGGAAGGAGGACGAGAAATGACAACCTAGTCAGAGAAGAAAACTTTTAACTTCAGTTTTAAAGCAAGCATCAAATTGTTGATGCTGTTCATTTCTACAAATAAAATCATTTATTATAATATGGAATAAAATATGAGTGAACTACTAAACAAAAGCGACCTTTGGATTTGAAAACAGTTTGGAATAAAAAAAAAAAATTCTGTATCTATTTGTTGAGGAAACAGACTTCTTGTCTGATAATTCCCCTCCCTCCAGAAAATGTTGGATTTTCTTGGACCAAAGACGAATAAACTATTTAAAAATAAAATATAATTGGATCATATTACATTTTTTTTTTTAACTACTGTTTGATTTAGGATGCATGATTTTTCAAATGTTAAAGGTAAGGAGAGCTCAGAATATGAGGCTAGTTAAGAGATATTTAAGGGGAATAATTCAATGTTTATCATGCAAAAATCGTTTAGAGAGTGATAATACTCAAATTTTTGAAGTTAAACATAAATGATTAATGTGTTTTTTTTTTCTTATTAAAAATATTTGTTTTTTAATCCTCTAGTCTAAAAAGTAAAAATTAATTCTTTGGATTAGCATGGATTTAAAAAAAAAAAAAAAAACACACGCACAAGACAACAATGAGATACAAATTAACTTTCACAAAAAAAAGAGGTCGTCACTTTTAAAAAAGTAAAACACACAATCTTTCCTACTGGTTAAAAAGTGATATGCAAACTGAATGTTAATTTGAATATCATAAAATAGAAAAAAAAAAATAGTTTAAAAAAGTAAACAAAAAAAAAATCATTGAATTACCTTATATTTGAATATCGCTTGTTTTTTAACCACTAAAACAAAATTAAAAAGGTCGTCATTTGTCACAAAAACCGCCACTTTGATAACGTCCGCTGTGATCGTGTTTTTTTTTTTTTTTTTCATTTTAATTAATAATAATGCTTTTAATAAAATCCTGTCAGGTGAAGAAGTTTCGAGATACACAATAAAATAAATGAATGATTTAATTTAAAATTGTTTTTTTTTGCCGCGTTAATTGAATGAAAAAAGGCTTCATTTCACCACTGCATCCCCCATCTACAATTAAAATTCGCTCTAATTATCATGGAAAATCTCAAGTAAGTTTATCATCTATTCAATATTGAATTTTCAAAATTAAGTACATAATAAACTCTTAAAAAGAAAAAAAAAATTTTTTTCTTCAGCACTACGACAAACCTTTTTCATCAGATGATCCTGGAATTTAGTATTTATGGAAATTTAAACCCGCATACATAGAAAAAAACAAACATAAAAATATTTAGATAAAGAACTAATTGAAGTCACTGAACTTACCTTCCATCTATTTGGAAGTTTTCCAGTTCCATGGACAATTTGGAGTTGATGGCTTCAAACTTGAAATTATCAAGAAGCTTCATTTTTTTCTTTCTTTTTAAATTGAAGTTTATGAAGTTGGCTAAAGTGTAAAATTTTGAATAAAAAAATCTGTCAAGAATATTAACTGTCGTAATAAAACCCGTATTTTTGTGATCTTGAATGAAAATGTTAAAATGCAAAAAATACAAAAATTAAAAATGTTTAAACTTTTTTTAAAAATTTTTACATAGCAAAAAAGAAAGATTTAATTTTAAAGTAAATCTAGTTTTTGAATCTTTTTTTATACTTGAGAATTTAAATTCTTTAAAAAAGCTATAAAAACTAAAAATGTTATTATTCCTTAAGAGTTAAAAAACATTTTTAAATAGCTAATAGCTTCTTTTTTTTTAAAGATGCAAATTTCTAAGTAAATAAAATTAAAATTTTTCAACTTATAAAAATTAGAGAGGTTAATTTAATTGTTTATATTTTTCTCATAAAGTAAAGACGGATTTTCATTTATTCTCGGTGAATTTCTTTCGCACTCATTTGAAAAAAAAATGATTGAGATTCAGCTGCCTTTTTTTTTCTTTTTTTTTTAAAAAAAAAAAAAGAAAAAAAAAGGAATTTTAATATTTAAATAAATTGTAAAGATAGGAAAACTAAAAGATTTTTTTATAAAGTAGACACAAAAAATATCTTGTCTTTCACAAATAAAATCCTAATTACAAGAAAATTGCCTTTCTTTTAAAAATATATCTTTTTTTGTGTGTATGTTTTAAAATCCAGGAAGGGTTTTTATAAGTTTTTTTTTTTTTTTTTTTTTTGACGTTAATACACTTGGTTTTTTGTTATTTGATCGAAGTGATGCACAAATGTTGTTGATTCTGAATATCTGTCGCCGATGGAGACTCAAATATGAACAAGAAAACGATGAACACGATGAAGGAAGAAGAGAATCTGACATCAGCGATGAGCAAAAAGAATAAACCCCTTCCGACACCATGATCAGCAGACAACGCAAATGAGGAAGAAGGATCCGATTTAAAAAACCCGATTTAAAAAAAAAAAAGAAATAAACCTACAAATCAAAACAAGCTGACACTTATCGATCAAAGTAGAATAATCCCAAAAAGAATTAACAAGGAAATAATTCCTAATATTTTCTTTGAAAGGAAAAAAAATAGGTTGCCTTGTTCTAAAGTAGAAAATGTCAATAAACAATAAATATAAATAAACAAAACGTTCAAGGTGGAGTTTTGGAGATTTTAAGTCGGAAAGCAGTGTAAAGTTCTTTATAAAAAATTCCAAATATTCTCCTTTTTTTTTCTTTTTAATCGTTCTGTCTACGCTTCTTTTTATCGTCTTTCTTCTCTTGTATTCTTTCAAATTTTCGTCTGCGTCACAATAACAGGGTCAGCCATTAAAACCAAATTAGATTATTTTTGGCTGGTCGTTTCCCACAATGCAAGTCACGCACCTAACTTCCGCTGCGCATGCGCTCAGATGTTTATGTATAGAAATCAGCATCTTACCCACAAATTATTTAATTATCTTATTTAGCAGTAAAAGAATGGTATTTTCTATAAAACTCTTGTGCCACATTTGTACTATTGTACGAATAAATAACTATTCTCTATAAAACATATAGATTGATAATGAGAGAAAAAGAAAGAGAAATAAAAAAATAGAATAAACTAAACCAAAGATTCTAAATTTTGTAACTCAGAGAGATTCCATTCTTTAATTTGCTATAAAAATTTAAACAAAATATTTTAATTTTTTTTAAAGATATCTAAACAATATGTTAATTTACAAGAATTATGTGCTTGGAAAAATCATGTTCATTTAAATTTCTTTGATCTGTAGTTCATGGATATTTTTATGAATAAAAACTTGTTTTAATACTTGTATTTATTTATAAAATGGTAAATATTATATTGTAGTTGGTTGGTTCATTATATTTTTAAAATTTTGTAGATTTTTATAAATTTTTGAATTAAAAGATTTCTTTTCAAATGTATCTCTTTATAAAATCATATTGTACTTGGTTCACATAAATATTACCGAGGGAGTTTCGGTTGTAGCGGATTCAACAGAAGAAAGTTAAAGTGTAATTTGCTACTGATATTTCCACCCTGCTCAGGACCGAGAAAAACAAACTAGATTGATATTGACCTAATTTCAGAGATTACTACTATCACTATTATAGTCTTACTTCAAACTACCGAAACGGACATTTCTTCAAACGCCATCAATATCTGCCTTATTAACAAACTTTTTGCTACGCCAAATACCAAAAAGATTCACTCATCACTCCAAAGGAAATAAATAAAAATATATTTATTTTAAACCCTTGAGTCACTTCATTTTTTCTGACGTTCCAGTAAAGAAATTACCAACATTACACTTGCCACACTGGTGATCCCGACGTGAGCTGAACACGCAAACTTCTGATGCGAACACACTTGCCACAGAACATTCAGGACTCATTCACAGATTAATTAAATTATTTTAGATTTTTTTTTTTTTTAGAAAACCTTGATGAAATTATTTCTTTTTAAATCTGTTACCCACCACTTATTTAATTTTATGAAATTTCGAGAAATTAAATATCGTAGAGCTAAAAATGTCTAATATAGTTAAAAGTAAAACTTTTTGGAGAATTTAAATCATCATCTTCTTTTTATAAAACAGGACCACCCACTTATCAAAAATCTGTTCTGAATCGTAAAATAAAAATTCAATGAAACTAAGACATTATTTAATTAGAAAAGCTTTTACGTGATTATTGTTTTAAGAAAAAAGTTTTCGATGAATAATGAATTTTAACAAGAACGGTTTTCATTTTTTAAAATTTTAGTTATAATAATTTATAAAGTTTTAAATCTTTTAAAATACTGTCTTATTTTACAGAGATTAGGTGATATTGTTATAACTATAATAAATTTAAAGTCAAAGTACCTAAAATTCGATAAAACATTAGATTTTACGGAGAATATTTTCCAAAATTTTTAAGATTACTGGGTAGTTTAAATTTATATAAAAAAGGCGCTCACGTTATAATCCGCAAGTAATTTTTACCGATATATCCACTGTACAAAAAATAAACTTTGGTCTGTCAGTCAAGTTGTCAGTTAACCTGTCAACACTTTAAATAAACAGCTACCACTGTGTTAAAAATACATTTTTTTTCTTAACATAAACGATATTTTAAACTTAAAGTAATATTTGTTTCAAATAAGATTAATTAAACATTAAATCTTACTTATTATAAAACGCAGATTGTGTGTGTGTGTGTGTGTGTGTGTACGTTTATATATTGGATCGGATTTCCTACATTTGTCAACCGATTTCAACAAAACTTCACAGGACTACATAAAATTACCTTGCGGTGGTTCTGACAGCGCCAAAAATCGGAAAAACACAATTGTTTTTGCATGAAATCAATTTGAAAACACGATAAAACACGATTCTGTCGCCAGAATGAAAGGGGGACAACACATATCGAGTTATACTTATTATAAAACCCAGGTTGTTTGTTGTGTGTGTGTTCGTTTATATATGGGATCGGATTTTAAACATTTTCAACCGATTTCAACAAAACTTCATTTGGGGGGCAGGTAGTGTTTCTTATTGTCTTGCACACTTTTTCTTTTTTTTTACATTCAGAATGCTTTAAAAATTCCATTTACAAAACAATTGTTTATAATAAAATTCTAATCAATCGATAGACTCATCATAACGATTGAAAACAATATTTTTGTTTGAGTTTGGGTTTGACTAATTCATAAAAAAAAACCCCAAAAAACAATACTAATTAAGACGTGTGTCCGTCAACCTTAAACAATAATCTTTGTCAATTTTATTTTTCAGTCTTTATGATGGTCGATACTTGATCTATCTCTTACTGTTACATCCCCGGGCAACGCCGGGCTCTACTGCTAGTCAGCTAATATTCCTCAAATAAAGATTCAGAAATATATATTTTTTTTAATAAAGAGAATTATATCGTGATGACGTAGGGTTAAAAATGGCACTAAAATCAGGAATGATTAGCAATTTCAAAACGAAAACTCCACCCAGTCAATTTAAATTAGTTTTGAAATACAGAAAAATATTTTGCTTATTGGAAATATTAAATTTAATCTATTGAAATTAAAAACTAAAATAAAATCTTCAAGGAAGCGTTTTCGTTTTTTAAAAATTCATGTTAAACCTTAGGTATCGGGTTTCTGTGGAGGCACTTGCTCTGCTGTACGTCCGTATATACAGAAATCAGCACATTTATACATGCAAAAGTTTGTTTTGTGAATGTGTGCCTGGCCATGGCCAAAAAAGAATTAATTACGAAAGATTTAAAAAGAACTAGTATGAAGGCCGCAGGTGGACCAGGGTGGCCGTTGAAAGTTTCCTCCTCAAATTTCAGGAGAGCTCCTGGCTGCATTTTTTTATGCAGTACGGCCAAATTTTAGGGGCTCTCTCCGACAATTTGAACGGGGATGGACTTTCGATATTATGCTTGACCAGAACGCCTTCAAGTCCGTCCCCAACTGTTTGGTGTTAGGCGACCGGAAAATGCCGGTCATAGTGACTGGTAGGCGACCAACTTGCTGGAGGTGTGGAGACTGGTCACCTTTCCTCCTCCTGCCCAGGGAAGAAGGCCCCTGGGTTCGGTCGTAGGTGACCAAAATCCCCCCTTGGCCGATAAGGAAAAATCCGCGGCGCCTGTAATGGGCCTAGCTTGAGGCGGACCGATGGGCAAAGTCCCTCGGTTGGGTCCCAACCCTCATTACCCCCGAAACCAACGCCTGCCACAAGTGTGGATAAGGAGAAGGACGGGGAATGGCGCTTCTCGTAGTTAGGGGCAAAAAAAAAAAAAACAGCGGTTCCTCAGTCCCAACATGACACCAGGGACAAAGTCACCTACAGCCCCATTCCCTCTGTCAGCTCTGGGGCGACGCCTCGACGTCATATGCTAAAAATGCTAGTGAAACACAAAAAAGAACGAACCAAGCTGGCAGAAGATTTTAGATCTCAAAATTTGAAAGAAAAATTGGAGGCTAAACGGGGTAAAAGTAAAAAAATCGCAGGGGGCACCGGGCCCCTATCCTCTTTGTTTTGTCTTCCCCTTCATCTAAATTCACCAAGCCACCTCCGCCAAAATCTTTATCGAACTCACCTGTCAAAAAGATACATTCGTCCAAACCTTCTACAGTAAGAACACCTTCGGGTTGGACTCCCTCTACCACACCAAATCCTTCACCCATGTCTACTCCTGTTCATTCCCTCACAAAAAAAAGGGCAGAAGTCTCCGAATCTCAAACTGCGACCGACATGAAGAAAAAAATCAAACCTCCATATCTCCCAGGGGAAGACGTCTGCCGCGTATGAGGGGACCAGGCAGAAAGGGTTTTCGGGCAGACGAGAAACCCAAAGGATTTAAAGTTCTCTGGAACTTTCAGAAGATAAACAGGGTCGATGTGGAAAATCCCGTAAACTTCCGTCTACCAAAAGGATTTTGACCGTAATCAGAACTGGCCCGGGTACGCGGGAGATTTGGGGCATGATATGGAGGCCCAGTCATCTCTAAAAATGGTGCCCCCTGCTGCCTACCTAATTAGACTCAGATTCGGATGAAGCAAACCAGAAACTTAAAGGGAGGTCTCAGTTTTTTGTTCACCCATCCCTTTATAGAGCTTTGAAACTCACCTACCCTTCGGACATCGGCGGCTTGTCTCAGGATGATACCGTCGAGAATGAGATGGCGTCTGGTTCCATGGGACGAGCTTTCGGTGTCCTCACCCCAGCCATGTTCTATCCTGAAGGGCAACCTAATCGGTTTCAATGGCACTTTGGTTAGATAGTTTAAATGTCCGGGGCCTGAGGTCCGAAGTCTCGCAGGGCGAGGCTCTCTCGTGACCTTCAGCGCCTCGGGGTGAATATATGTTGTTTACAAGAGACCCAGTTTTCTTCTCATGATCGTGAGGATATACTGTCTAAGGG